TAATAGTATTCCACACAAAAATATCTTCTTTAAAATCACCTGTCCATTTTCAGTAGTTTGTTATCAGGTACTTTTGTTATTGTACATATGGTGTGATAAATATCTCTGGGTGCTTCTTTATTTTCTTAGAATCAGAATAACTTAAATTTAATGGACCAAAGGGAAGTGACATCTTTTAAGGCTTCTAATAATTACGGTTTAAACTTGAATCAAAGAATATACATTGCTAAATAAGTCTCCAAATATTTTGCTGTAAAATATAACAAAACAAATCCCTTAAAGTGTTTGTAGTAATGTCTAAGCATTTAGCTTTTGAGTTATAAGAATTTATTTTAAGACATCTTGAAATATTAGCATAGAACTAATAATAATTTTCCTGTAAACAACCGAAACATCAAAAATTGTATTTCAAATGAGATCTTTTTTCTTATATGATGAAAAGGATGTCTCGTGGTGCAAGTTATCACTGAATGTTGGAAAATGGCATAAATAAACTTTTTAAGAAATATTAATATGCTGGCTACATTTCCATATGTTCACAAAATTAAGAACAGAGATATTTTAATTGCTTAGGATAGACAGTGCCAGGAGTGTTTCCAAACATATTTTCCCAGACTGAACTGGGAACTATTTCCCAGCATGCTCCCAGCCACACACTGAACCGAAAACTGTCACTCCTCCCCTCACACACCCAATGGAACATAATGATTTACAAAGAACATTTTACCAAGAAGCAAAGTAAATAAAACAAGGCCACAAAAGATTTCCTTTGGAGATGAAAATACATACAGAGATAATCTTTGCTAAGTACATGTTTTTGAAACAGGATGGACGCCGAACAGCCATTCTAAAATTGAAGCAAAACCTCCATTAACAAAACAACGAGGTTCCAATACTCGGGTATAAGAAAATAGCTGATTTAGGACATGACATATTCTGAATGGCTTTTTGGAAAGGCTTTGTTTATATAAGGATAGAAGTTAATTATTTTCCAATAAGTGTGAGAGACTATTAAGATAAATCACTTTCTCCCCACTATAATAAATGCTGAATCACATCATATTACCTTATTAATATTGGCAGACCACAACTGAGTATTGTCCTAAATATTTGTATTTTAGTGACATAAAATTGAGGCATTTTGAAATAAAATCTTACTTCAAAAAGTAGGCAGAGCTTTTTTATTCCCATCAAATAGTAATGCATATTAATCCTTCTTTTTACCCTCATCATAATAGTATAATACTGGCCCTATAAGATAAATTTAGTTTTCCAAAATAGAATGATGGAGTTAATACTTCCAGGCAACTAAAATTTTTTAAAATTTCAAAACTTTAAATATGAAAAAGAATGCAGGTCAGTTTTTCCAAACTGTATTTAGGAAATAAAATCATTATAGTGTATCGTGGAATATTTTTTTAAAGATAAAAGTAAAAGAAGAGAAAATACCACAATTATCATAGTGTATCTAAAATAGAAAGATAAGTTTTATTTCATTAAACTTTGTGTCAGTAGATTTTGGGCATGGCATAAAATATTTTCTTATTATGCTTTGATCAAAATTATTTGAAAACATAGTTCTAGGTCCACCTTCCCTATGGTTTTGAATTGTCAAGTTAAAATGAAAATTATGCCCAGGATGGGCTGGGCACAGTGGCTCACACCTGTAATTTCTAGCATTTTGGGAGGCCAAGGTGGGCGGATTGCTTGAGGCCAGGAGTTTAAGATCAGCCTGGCCAATCTGGTGAAACCCGATCTCTACTAAAAATACAAAAATTAGCTGAGTGTGGTGGTGGCACCTGGAATCCCAGCTATTCCAGAGACTGAGGGAAGAGAATCACTTGAACCTGGGAGACGGAGGTTGCAGTGAGCTGAGCTCGCACCATTGCACCCCAGCCTGGGCAATAGAACAAGATTCCAACTCAAAATATAGAAAACAACAACAACAACAAAAAAACAAAATTATGCCCAGAATGAACAGCTATTATTCATTATATCCTTTTTAGCACCTGATTTATTTTCTTTTACCATTTATACCTAGTTAAAAAAGTAATGCATAAATATCTATTCATAAATCAGTAACTGCTGTCCTAAAGAAAGTGATATAGTGGGATAAAATTGAAGCATTTTGAAATAAGGTAGGTAGGGTTTTGTTGTTTGTTTGGCTATCCGTCAGAAAGAGTTGATGTCACAACTTGAAAAATATTTTCATGGAGAGAGAACCCACCCCACAAATTCAAGCCTACTGAGTTTGACTGAATTTTGAAAGTCAAGTCTACTGTCAATTACTAATGAGACTCTTGAAAACAGTAATTACAGCTTGGAAAGTATGATACACAGAGAGGGTGAGCAATATATTAAACATTCTTTTACTTATAAGATGTATTTAATATTTTGAATTAAGTCTCAAAGAACAATGTTGACCAAGATGAAAAAAAGCTTTTTGATCTAACTGGGTAACCTTCATCCTGGACCACGGAACTTATTAAATAAAAACCAAGTTACCAGTATATATTAACAGTATCTGAGAGTCTCTATATTACCTTCTCAATGCACTACTTTGTGTGTGTACAAAAGCATGTTATCAGTGATTATATTTCTTTTCTAGATTTTCTGCATTTTCTAAATTATTTCAATCAAAATATTAAACAAAAGGAGAAATGGACTGACATTTTTCAATGCTAATGCTGATAAAAGTAGAATAGCTATGATACAGATACATTTCCCTCTGTTAAGGCAAACATTAGAATTTTGAGTTAACTTTTTCCTCAGTGTTGACACTTAACTAAATTATTTATAATTTAATTGAATTAGATAAAATACATTAAAAAACAGAGGAAATTATCTTCTATGGTTTCCATATGTATTTTTAGATGGAATGGATGAATATAAAATAGAATTTTTTAAAAAGTTTGGATTTTCTTTTTTTTTTCAGCTAATCTTTCTGAAATATGATCACTTAGTTTCCACAACGTATACAGAAAAAACTCCTTGAAGCATTAAGGTGTTTTCACTGGATTATATGAGGGTAATACTATGAAAATCTTTGGATTTCATATCATTTTCAATTAATTTACACAGATTCTTGGCTAAATTGACAAAAATTCTTCAGTTCATTTTTATTATCTTTAAGCAAATATATTAAGGTGAATTAATTGTCATATATTGGTTTCCTTTGTTCATTCTATCTTTAATTTTCAAAATAAACACAGCTTAAATTAGGCGAGAGTATCCTGGAGTACTAAAATGTACCAAAATCAAAGTAATACATGTTTATTGACCACTAGGTTTAAGATCTTATTCTTTTAAATATATTGGCTCCTGTTACATGGAAACCTACAAACAAATTGGATTTGCTCAGAGAATGTGAGGAGAGAGGCCTTCATACTAATATTTTTATATGTTTAGTCATTAGAAAATAATCATTAATCATAACGGAATGTAAAGTGGGAGTTTTTCAACTGTGGCAAACATTCGCTTTTGTTTTAGTTTTATCTGTTTTTCTGGTCTCTCCAGATAATTTTCTATTTGCTGTAAATCTCCCTAGGTATACTTATAAAAGAATACGGTGAGAAAATATGATTGATTTTATCAACCATGGACATTCAAGGAAAAAGCAAAACTAATAAAGAGAAATGGAGAAGTGAATATCTAGGTATTTTCCAATAGCTTTTGATTTTAATAATTTAGGCACATCTGTGACATAACAGTTTTATGTCTTCCTTGCATTCTTTTCAGCAATAGACCATACATTCAGGCCATACACAAACATAAAGTCTATTTTACAAGAAAATGTATGCCCTATAGCGGGGGGTGTTCTGTTAGTTTAAAGGATCAGAGTATTGAACTCAACAAATATTCTAGAGTACCTCTTATAGGTACTATTCTATATGCTAGAGACAGAAGAAGAAGGAGCATGGCCCCTGTTCTTAAGGAGCATGCAGCCTAGAGGGGAAATGAGAGGAACGCAAATCCCAGTGTGATTGAAACCATCTTGGTTATATGCATAGGGTGTCATGAGTGTTTCTGGCATATTCAGAAAACAGAGTCCATGGTCATCCAGTTGAGCTCTCTGTCATGACCTCTTTCAGTATCTGCTACTTCTGTACTAAGTGTTCAGTAAATGTTAGTTTTCTATGCATCTCCCATTTCTAAGTGGTTCTTCACACACACACAAACACAAACATGCACACACACACACACGCACACGACTATTGCAAAGAATATCTCAAGAAAAATAGATGAAAATAGTTACTATTTATCAGTCCAATGTTGTGACTATTTTTTTCTTTGCTTATAACATCTCAATTTAAAATATCACCTTTCTTTGTACCATATTTATCAAAGAACATTCCAAGGTTGCTAAGTCTATTCAAACAGCAAGAATACTACCTAAGCGTCCACTTGTCATGTCACTACAAAGCCAAATTTTAAATTATGCTATTTTTGGTAAGCCAGTCTTCCTTCAGTTGGTACACAAATCTTGTCATTCTACTTTGTATTCACTTTTGTTTTCTTTTCCAAACATTAGCATAATTTTAGCAAGATCATTCTGAAGTTCTGATTCCGTCAGTGGAATATTTCTTAAAGTTGTAATTAGTACAACCGTGTTGCTATAAGTAAAAGGTACTTGAATGTTCATAAAGTCAAAAGATATCGATACAACTGTGTTTTTTAAAAAAAACATTCTTTGTATTTAAATATAAATTATTCTCTTAAAAGAACAGCAATTTCTCTATTAAATATAAGCTCGCGTTGGTAAGGAATATATTTTGCTTTTACAATCTCAACCAGCTTTCTCCCTCACTCATACCTTGCCCTCTCAGCAACTTCCAAGTTTTCCTCACTCAGTCAGCACATAGTACAACTAAGTAAGTGTCTTGAAGATCTGAATTACAACCTAATCCTCAGCATGTAACACCAGCAAAACAAAACAAAACATTAGCTTTGGAAATTGCAATAGCAGTTTTAGGAACAAATGTCAAATAGGTTTCACTGACCTGAGGAAATGTCTATTTGGCTCATCTTGGTCTGTGTGATGTTGATGTGAACACCCACTTTGCTTTCAGTGAGGTCAATCTCCACATTGCCCAAATTATCTGCAAAGTGACTGAAGACCAGGAGACCATTGGGGTTCCACGTCCTAAACTGGAAACTGACTGAGAACAGGTCCTGGTTAGGCCGTCCGGGCACCTCCAGGTAACTTGTAGCATTGAAAAAGACAGGCACCGTATAGGGTTCCACACAAGAGAAGCTCAAATTTCCCTATAAAATAGAAAGGCATGCTTTGAGGAAGACACAGAATAAAATAAATGTCCACGTAAGACCACTGATGAAGGTAGAGCTCTACAAGTTTTGAAGCAGAGCCTGAGCCTGAGCTAAACTCACACCCAGCTGCAGGGCATGGATTCAGTGACTGGAAGCACCACCATGAATCTACTTGGAGTGTAAGGCCTAACACTGAACAGCAGTGGCTGTCTATAACAAGCAGCCTCCACCATGGGACTGACAGCCTGACAGCCTGATGAGATAAGCTGATCATGAGTTGTAAAGTGTGTATGTGTGTTGTGGGCATGAGTGTGGATCACTAGACTTTCTGAAGACAGCAAAGTTGATGCTGGCTGAACATAAGTCAGGGAGATAGATGCTCTGTCCTATTCTGAGTGGTCAATACCAACATTAATTAACATATTACTCTGGTCTCAGTATGGACTATGATCATATGTTTGCTATTTATGATACTGATATTTTAGGAAAATATTCTTGGATTTTTATCTATACACCTTATATATTTTTTTATTTATATACCTTATATATGCATACATAGATAAATATTGTTTTTAATGTTAATGTAATTGTGGTTATTGCAGATTATTCTACTATCCAACTCAAAATCCCATTTAAATTCCCATGAAATGTGCTTATATCACAATGCATTCGTTCCTGTGGAACTAGAGGTATATAAATGGGCAAAATGGAAACAAAACTTCTAATAATTCAGGCTTGTCCTTCCGCTTCCATACTCCTCCTTCTTGATATAAGCAAAAAAATTCACATTGATTTATCACTCAGATACACTAAATTTTATATTTTAGTGCCTAACTTCTCTTTACAGATCTAAAAATCTGTATTTGCTATTAACTTCTTTTATCCTATCATAATATGTTAAGGAATGTAATTGGATACTATTTCATTGGGTCTCTCTCTCTATCTTTCTTTTTCTCTATGTATTTTTAACAACACCACATATATATACCAGATACTGATTTTTTCCATTTAACACATTAACCATTAATTCTAAGGCAGGCTGTCTCTCTGAATTAATATTCAAATTGAATTTGCTCTGTACCTTCACAGATGATTATTTTTAAATGCTCACTTTTACTGATGAAAAGAACTGCCTATGCATAATAACTGAGATTTTATAACTGACCACATACCATTGTTGAAGGGATTGTCTCCCTAACAAAATTAAAGATTCTTCCAGAGTAATGGTGCTGACTCTGGTGTCAGTGCATAATGAGGGAATGAGTGTGTGGGGGAAGAGGAGGTAGAATGAGTGCTGAGTCAATTTCACTGAAATATCAGTACCCAATACATTTGAAAGTAAATTTCTTATATAAACACTTGTCTTTGTAGGGCTGCTTGCAAAATGTCCTTTCGTCTCTATCCCACCTAAGATTTTCCATATGTATGTACATTTCGATTCAAAAGTTTATCCTATGTTTTCTCATTGCAATTATTTGTCAAAATAAAATATAATTATAGATCATAATCAAACTCACATATTGTGAATCCATAATCTTTTTCATCTTTTTAGTTTTTGGAGGGACAGAGTCTCAGTCTTTGCCCAGGCTGAAGTACAGTGGTTCAATCACAGTTCACTGCAGCCTCAAACTTTTGGGCTCAAATGATCCTCCTACCTCAGCCTCTTGAGTAGCTGGGACTACATGTATGCGCTACCACACGCAGCTAATTTTTTAATTCAGTTTAATTTATTTTTTTTTAATTTTAATTTTCTTAACTTTTTGTAGAGATGGGGTCTCACTATGTTGCCAGGCTGGTCTCAAATTCCTGGACTCAAGTGATCCTCCTGCTTTGGCCTCCCAAAGTGTTGGGATAACAGAAGCAGGCCACCATGCCCAGCTGTAAATCTATAATTTACATCTCTTACTCATAAAATAAAACAAAATTATTTTTCTCATAAAGCTGTTTTTCTCATAAAATAAATTATTTTTTCCATGTTAAATCTCAATGTTTTCACCTACAAAATGTTTGCATCTTTCTTGCAGTATTGTTCTTAGAGTATCATAAATGTAAAATATAACATGCCTAGCACAGGACATGTTGCCTATAAATGGAGCTATTATATTTCCATATAGTCAATATACTTTATGAGAAAATTTAATCAAAGTTCAACTTTTGCTTATTAGTATAAATTTATGATTACTTTAAGAAAAATATTTATTAATCATTTGTATTAAGTTATTATTTTAAAGTTTCTCATATCCAACCTGAATTCTTTATTCATTCAGGGATATCCGCTTGTCGAGTCATTTTATGAAACCCTAGGCTCAAAGTTGAGGCAATGAGACCATAAGAGCATTTTTAGAGCACAGTACAACCACTCATGACATTATTCTACTTCTAGTGCATAATATCTTCTTATTGTATAGGTCTCTGGAATTCTAGGCTCTCTCAAATAACATCTCTGGGCTAAAGTAGCTCCTGGTCTTGCAGAGCCATAGGGAACCCTCATACTAAAATTTTAAGCAAAATATCTCTTAGGGATGTTGAGTAGTGTCGTGAGAAGGCAGATATGCTGCGGTTTTCTTTGATTTTTGCTCTCCTCCCAAAATCTAATGAAACCTGGCACCAAGTCACATTGAGGCAGAAGAAAATCACTGTGAACTTCTGCAGCACAGATTCTGCTATGCTGTGGAAATCAAGCTGTATTTAATTGTATAATATTTAGTCTGGTTAGAGATTTGTTAAAAAGGATATTTATTTACATATTAAAAAAATCATCTTTGGAAGCGAAGGAGTAAATATAATAAAGTCCCTGATTTAAAAACTTTAAAAATATTAAATTAAACCATAAACAAGAAACTTAGAGCATATATGATGAGATATTTGAAAACATGATGCGGCCAGTTTAAGGGCTGCAGAGCTGCTGGGGTGAAGCATGTGCTGAAGTGTATTCGTTCCCCTGCCATGAGTAATCCAGAAATACTGATCTAACATTCTGTGCTCCATGGAAATGAAACCGATCACCTATTTCAGGCTATTCCCATTATCTGTTCTCAAAGCATGGTAATTACCTATGGTATTTCTGATAACTCTGAAGTTTGTATTTTACATCATTGCGCCCAAACACAAATAAGATGAAAAACGTCATGATTTTGTTGTTGTTCAATACTCCAAAAAACAAAAAAGTTACTTGATTTTTTACAGACCAGTCTTTTGAGGGTGAAAATTCTTACCACATTTGAGGGCTCTAATTTCTTCCTTTTGGCAAGATCAGTGATGTTGATGCCATTGTAGTTGATGCTTTCCATGCAGCCTTTGAAATTCTTTCTACTGCTGGAACTGGGCTTGCCAGAGAAAGGGATGCCTCCAAAGGTTATCTTCGAGGAAAAGAAATTAAATGTAAACATCCACATTGTATTGTAATAAACTAGGCAAGACCATGACTGCAGCCAAGGTCAAGTACATTTACTGCAATCAAAATATACAAATATTATAGTATTCTGCCTCCAAAACCTATGGCATATTAAATTATGTTGTTGCTGAAGTCCCTAATGGAGTAATTTATTCTGATAATTAGATTATAACTTGAACAACAAAAAAGGCAATGATCCTTTGCAATTTTACTACCCCAAAGCCATTTTATAAATTTTCTTGAGAATATTTTAAAAGATTTTTATTCAGAAACTTCTTTTATCAAATAATATTAGAAATACATTTTTATGCTTATCATTCAAAGATATACTGTCAATAAATGCCTCCGGTAAGCATAAGATAATCAATACTAATTTAATAAGTTGATAAAACTACAGTCCAAAGCAAGGGATATCGTATTTACTCTATGCAGACTTGTAGTCGAATGACGATTATTGTCAAATATTCATTAGATTTATTTTGGATGTAGGAAATAGTTCAAAATATATCATTACAATATTGATTAGGGACCACTTAGGGTTTGGGAGTTCTAAGTTGAGCAGTGTAGACTTAAAGATATTACAGATCTGTCAAATCCTAAGAAAGAAGACAACACTACTTACTGTGTTCCTCTGGCTGCTTGTGCCTATTGAAATAAAATATCTATTTATTTTATTTTTTTGGTCAGTATATACTATAGTACTAAATCTATATAATACAAAATTGCATTTAGTATTTGCTTGGTCAAGGATATTTACTATGAATCGTAAATTAGTAAGTGAAGCCAACTGCTAATTATAATTATAAAATCAAGATATATAATGCTTGTAATATATATCTTTTAAGTTATCATACAATATTAGCATTAATTTTTTAATATTAGCTTCATTAAAATGTCAAAAAATATTCTGTGATCTAACCACTTTATTTTCAATGAGAATATATAACTATAAAGAATCAATGACAATGTAATATCCAATTATTAGTGAAATTTGGGATTGGGGTTAGAACTCACTAAATTGTTAGGATCTGTTGACTTGAGCCTACGATACTTTTCGAGAGCATGTTTGATGAGGTGAAATGAGAGCAATGGAGAAGATATTTTTAAAAGTCAGGATTTCATAGTTGAAACATGAGTCAAAGATTTTGTATTCTGAAAGGTCCATGAACAAATTATGTTCTATTATTTAGTGTTATGGCATCTTAAATGCTTAATTAGTTTTAGGGGAAAAACACAAATTATGATTTATGAGGTGATGGTTAAAAAAAAGACCTCGTTTAAAATAAAATTTATTATTAATAATGGTTAGCTGAATATGTATTATTGGCCACAGAGTTCATATATAAGAATTTAAAAGAAAAATTGAGAGAATATATATCCCAAAGAATTAGGAAACTACAAAGAAGAAACAGAGTAATCTAAAGTAGAATTATTGGGAAAATGTTTTCAAGTTGCACTGAAATGAACATATTAGGTACTACGGAAGCATACATAGTACCAAAGGCAATCATTTTTGATACTAAAATGGAGTACTAGGTTTCCTGTTTGCAATCTCTTTGATCAATTTTCCCCAACTCACAGTAATAATATCTTCACTGTTTAATATTACTAAACATTGGGTTTGATATTATTAAACACGTATTCCTCTGTGTGCATATTTCTTTAATTTGAACTTTTCACATTCTGCAGGGGGATTCGAATTATCCTTACAGTTTCTCTGTTTTCAGCAACTCTAGGAACCCGTCCTACCTCAGCAAGATGCTCTGGAAAAGCGATACAGTCTCAAGTTAACAGATGCTAACAACTTAGTGAGTTCTAAACCCAATTCCTAAGGTAGCTAATGATAGGATATTAGACTGTTGTTTATTCTTTCTAGTTATATAGTCTCATTGGTAAAATGAAGTGGTTGGATCACAGCATATTTTCTGACGTTTTAATGAAGCTGATAGTAACAAATATTGTTGCAACTGTCAGATTAATATTCAGTTATTCCTGTGGCTCATATGATACATTTATTAATGATCTTGCCATCCAATAACCTTACCTCTAAAGAAATAACTGCATTAATGATTTTGTTAGCTTTCAAGTGTTCACAAAGTGTGGCAGGGACTATTGGATACCTTTAAGTATCCTTTCTTCCTACCCTCATTAGGGAAAAAATAATGCTTTTCAGCTGGTCACATTGCTTCCCAATCAATATAATAAATTATCAACCTCTTTGAAGCTAGCTTTGGTCTCATGATATTTAAGTAGACGGGCTGTATGTGATTCTAAGAACTGTCATTGAGGGGGAGGGCACAGTCTGGTTTACTCTCTTTCTTATTGCTAGCTGGAGTGCAAAGTGAAATGTTAGCAGCCGTCTTGCAGTGATTTGCAACAGGGGTAGAGGAAGACCAAGATTAAATAGGACTGTGTTCTTGAAGATCATGGAGCAGCCATTTGAACCTAGGGCCACCTGCCTCCAAACTTATTTTATGTAAAGGAGAATATACGTGCATCCTTTAAAGGCAGCCTATGCAATCTTAACTCATATATATATATGAGTTTATATATATATATATATTATATATATATATATATTTTTATATATATAATATATAAAATATATATATATTATATATATATATATTTTCTGTTACTTCCTGTTGCCTCCTCACATAACCCTATGCAAAGTATGTGATTAGACTCATTTCATAAAAGGCGAATATGAATTGTTCACTATCACACAACCATTAAAGGGCAGAAACAGATTCAAACTCGGGTTTCTCCTCCTGTGACTGATTTTCTTCCTCACCAGTCTGTGGTTCTGCAATGGTCAAGAGAGAGTCATTCCTTTACTTCCCTAGCAGAGCTGTATTGCAAGAGATAACAGCATAATATCCACAGTGGGTGTGCTCTGAAGAACAGAGAGAATCTAGGCCAAACACCATTTTGCTGCTCTGCCCTTTGGTTTTTATTGGCTACGCTGAGGAAAAATGAAGCGAAGTGCATGTGTATATCACCACACAGGTCTCCAGTCAGTCCGTAGTTAGCAGCCTCACTGCAGGTGGCGATGGGCCAATTTGCAGTGTATGCAGCTACTAAAGGAGGGGATGAGATAAACTCTTACGACTAGGTCACAAGAAATGTCCACATAGAGTTACATCAAAGGAGTCAACTTGTATTCTATTACTTCTTTCATGATGCTCATCTCTAGGAATTGTGGTAAGCGTAATGCCAGCAGTACTGTGCTGAATCCCACTCATACTGGCTTACAAGAACCGATTGTTAAGCAAGGTTATGATTAAAATCCCATCACATAAGCTATGCATTAAATAAATCACATGAAACACAAAATTAATAACTATTCAGAACTTATGTCTACACTTTACTTTCATATATGTTCTTGGGGGCATTCATGTTTATTTTAACTATATGATGGAAATACCCATATAATTTTGTGTTATTAGGCATCTCTTCCCAACTCGCTGCTCAGCTCCATATATGGTAGCATGAAATCAACCATGGTGGGAAATTTGCACAATGAAAATTAATAAATGTTCAATATCAGGGCATTCCTCTGACCATTCCTTTCTGGAGAAAACTGGTTCTTAAGGATTTACCAGCACATCCCCACCTGGGGCCTCAGTGCAGTTGACCTTAGTGGACTCTGGAAGAATTGAGGCAGTATAACCTTGGGGAAGAAGGACGTTGCATCTTCAGGTTTTGTGAAGATAACAAGACCAGCTTTCTGTTCCTTTAGGCCAAAGACTTTAAATGGTTCAGTAATAAACATTATATAAATTGTATTATTTTAGGTTTGAAGCTAATTTTCATGCAGTCTATGAGGTTTGAGTGTAGTCAGTGTGTGGATATATCAAGCAGATACGTACAATGAAACTCGAGCCTGACTCTAATATAGTTCCTGAGATTTTAATATTTCTTTCTTTATTTTGAGACACAGCTTTGCTCTTATTGCTCAGGCTCAAGTGCAATGGCGTGATCTCGGCTCACTGAAACCTCTATTCAAGTGATTTTTCTGCCTCAGCCTCCAAAGTAGCTGGGATGATAGGAGCCCACAACCATGCCCAGATAATTTTTGTATTTTTAGTAGAGACAGGGTTTTGCCCTGTTGGCCAGGCTGGTCTCAAACTCCCGACCACAGGTGATCCATCCACCTCAGCCTCTCAAAGTGCTGGGATTACAGGGATTACAGGTATGAGCCACCATGCCTCGCTCAGTCCTGAGGTTTTTTTTTTTTTTAAACAAATAAGCAAAGGAGTCCCTTTCCATTAAGACAAAAGTGTAGAAATATAAAGGTAGGCATAGCCACTTTTATTACATTTCATGCCAATAATTGCAGTCCCTAAGAGGACAGTAATCTGGCAGTAGCCAGAAATATTGGCTATCCTGATACTCTGTCAATTAATTTAAATTTCTTCCCAGTGTCTCTCTCTAATAAATAAGTCCCAGGTATTTTAGTCTACACCTGCAGCTCTCAAACATGGCAATGTATATAGATGGGCTTCACAGTGTCCATGAAACTGCTGACCCGATATAGAAGTGTTGCGTGTGCATGAATATTCATAGACTTCATCACATACTCAACAGAGTTTATGACCCCAAATCTTTAATTCGTTTTTTTGAAAATTAGAATTATATTTCCTCATTCCAAATGTTCCAGAATTTTCACCTCTTCTATGGTACTTCAAAGTTTATTAACAAAGGCTGAATAATTCATCTTTAAGATCTCTCACACATTGGGAGATCAGTCATATGAACCAAGGTACATACTAATTTAGAGAAGATAGAAATTTCTGGGATTTTCACCTACTTTTCCTTTTAGCAATCAGTTTGCTTTTAGGAAATTTTTTTTTTGAGGGGAAGGACAAAATATTTTCCAATAACCTTAAATTCATTTAACGTTAATAAAGTCTCCATCAGTGTTTATATAGCATATTCTTTATTTAGGAATATATATAGTATATTCATATAGCAAGGAAATAGAAACTATTTAAATGCAAAGAAAATAGAAAACTAATCCTACCTTTTCTACTTATTTTATGATGAGCATATTCCATGTTCTTGTGTAATTATATGTAAATATATATGACACACAGATATATACATGAATACACCTCCAATTTCAAATCTGGGTGCCAAGGAACATGAAGGTGCTGCAGAAAACTGAGAGGAGTGCCATAGTATGTTCAACATTTTTGAAGAAAATACAACAATGGGCTTCAAAGTGTCATTTGGACACTGTGTGAAACACTAGCTTAAGGTAGTTTACTGTTCCAGTATTAGATAATGTGACATTCCTTTTAATGATGTGCTGTCTTTGTGAATTTGGGATTTGGTCATTACTCTGATTAAAACAGAGTATCACGTAGAGTAAACATGGAACAGAAAATTACGATGCCAGTGGCAAACCTGACTCCCATTTGTCACAAGCATACAGTGCAATAACACTCAGCCCATTAGTAATAATTGCTGTTGTTTGAGAATGAAATAAAAATGTACTTTCACTCTTATTTTATGCTTATTTCTCCAAACAGCTACCAATGTTTTAGGATGTAAATTTTTAAGTTGTTTGGACCTAATGGCCCAGGACTGCTGTAGAGAAAGTTCGAAGACACTAAGGGCTCCATGAACTAAGAAAGTTTCAAAATTTCTGGCTAAGTAATAGCATTGCATCGCTTTACAGTTCTGCTGCTTTTGTATGCTAGTGTTATCGTCTTCTCCTAGGCTGTATAATACTGTGACAAACATCTTAAAAAGCTCACCTACGTATATAATTAACAGTTTTAATGGCTATTTTAAGGTTGAATTGCTCTACAAATAATTTATTTAAAAATATGATATACCTATTCTTAAGCTATGAGAATAGATTTTTTAATTTGTATAAACATAATCATTGATTATTTTTAATCTCTAATTATTGGGAAGGTAAAATGTGTCTTTTTGTTCATTAATAATCTCTTTAAAATATTCTGTATTTTACTCTATTGCATTTGTGATATTGACATCTGGGAAAACAGAACTTGTCAAAAGACCCATCTGCAGTCATGAGTTTCTGAATGACTTAGTATAAACCAGAAACTAGGATTTCTTATTCAATACTTTGTAATAAATATTAGACAACCTTCTGTATATAATGTACTGCACACTCTCAGGGAGAATTGGTGACATGATTAACTATTAATGAAAGGATTACAAATTAAATTTATTCTGAATTTATTAAATGGCCTGGATAGCATGGTCCTTCTCTTCCAATTAATACTTTGGTACTAAGATTTTTATAATATTTCGAGTACTCATGACTGTAAATTTAGAAATAAAATGACGCAAATGTATTAGGTTTTTAAAACTGTCAGTTTCTTTTTGTTTAGAGAAGGAAATAAAAATGGTATAAGTAGTAATAGAATGAACAATAATACAATACAGTAAGAGAGTGACGCAGTTGCTCGACGTTTTATCACAAGTTACACGTCATCATGCGTACCTCGTAGTCCAAGTCCAGGTAGTCAAACTCTCCATTGGTGCGGAAGTGCTGCATGCTCCTGTCCAGAGTGAGGTTAATGCTCCGCCCCTGGCGCTCAATGACCACAGAGTGCCAGTGGTGGTCATCCAGCAAACTTCCGGTCATCACTGATGTGTGGCCATATATGGGGCCAAGCTGGTTGCTTCCTGGGTACACAGGAGTGAAGAAGAAACAATGTAATGATGCTACGGCCAGCTCTGCGAAGCACAGGCTCTTTCGTTTACAGCATCTAGAGGCTGACATTCCGTCAAAGCTCCATCCATTCGAGTTAAACTGAGATACCAGTAAGTCGCTACACTTAAGAATACTTTAGTTCAAAGTACATACAAGTTATTGAAGATGGAAAAAAAAAAGTCTGCTCTTTTAAAAAGGGGGAAAATGAGTGTTTTATTTCTGTGCAATGAATTCTGCTCAATTTTGGTAGGTTTGTTATAAAGTCAGTGTCACATGGGCTTTCACATCAGCCTGCTGGGTTCTGATGCTGACTCCATTGTTAGCTAGGAATCCAGGGGAAGTTGAGGATGCTTGGTCTCCATTTGCTCATGTATACAATAGAGAAGATAACAGTACCTGCTTCATAAGGTTGCTTGAGGGTTAAATGAGTGAGTGTAGGCAAAGAATTTAACATACTTTCTGGCATATAGTGAACATAACTGCTACCTGTTAATCTTTTATTACTGTTACAATTATTGATTAAGACCACATAGCATGACCATTTTTAATTTTCGTTGACTCCAAAAGCCATTGTTGTAAAGAGAACACTATGTAATTGTTAATGGCATAGAAAATTTACTTGTTATCTTTTAATTAAAATGATAACATTCAGAATTATATATGTAGCATTTAGTTTTGAAATAAGATTTCTATAGCAACAAAACTATAAATAAATGAAAATATTGTTAGAATCCAACATGTTTATTAAGGTGATCTCTGAATGAAGTTTATATATTTTGTTTCATCTAAGTTGTCTAATCAAGTAATGCTTTTTATGGTCAGGCAAAATTAATCACTACAAAAATGTAATAGGGTTTCAGAATAAATAGCATAATGGAAATGAGAGATGAGCAATTAACTCTCACATTAAACTCTCTTTCTTTCTTTCTTTCTTTTTCTTCCTTTCTTCTTTTCTTTCTTTCCTTTCTTCCTTTCTCTTTCCTTTTTCTCCCTGCCTTCCTGCCTTTCTGCCTTCCTGCCTTCTTCCTTCCCTCCTTCCTTTCTTCCTTTCTTTCCTTCATATGCTAATGCCCCCATACCTCACATTTTCAATTATCTTCCTGGAATACCTTTTCTTCACTTCTGGTGATGAAATCAAATGTTGATGTGTGATGGTGAATCAGTACATATATATAATGAGACAGGGAAAAGGAAGGGACAAGAGGCAGAAGAGGAAGAGAAAGACAATTAGGAACTATCTAAGTGAAAAGGTCACACTGAGTTTTATTACTTTAAATATTTACACTAGAAGACGGAGCAACAGGCAGATATGTCTGATATTTAGGTAACCGCATTAAAGAATGGCAGTAGATATTTGAGTGGATATATTTCTCTGGCTGTCGTAAATTCCAGTCAGTCAGTAAAACTCCGTCAGTAAACTGCTTTCCAGTGTAAAGCTAGTAAACTTTTCTTGGTAAGGTCACATAGTCAGTTATTTCTTTGAAAACAATAATGTCACACCTCTATAAGCATCAGTTGATTTTCAAAGGTTATTCTACATGTTTCATTTGGGATAAAAAAAGAAAAGTTTGAAAAAATAAACACCTTTAGATATAATTCAACTGCAATGTGTGTGTGTGTGTGTGTGTGTGTGTGTGTGTGTGTGTGTCCACGTGTGCATATGTGCAAATTTTATGGAAGTACATATATTTTCTTTCTGGTTACTCTCCCCTGCTCTTCCTTCTTTCCCTCTATTAGGTCTTATCTTAAAAATAATTTCAGGCTATTTCCCCCCAAGTGGCACAATGAATACATGTTCATTGTTACAAGTAGAGAATATAATGAAGAAACAACAAATGAAATGTAATGTAAGAATATTTCCACCCCTAACATTAATTTGGTCTGTTTTCTTCCAGATGTCGTCCACAAAAAGTCATGCACCACATAATGACATTTCTTTCAATGATGGACTTCATATATAATGGTGTAACATCAAATTTAACGCTGCATTTTCACTGTATTTTTTCTATGTTTTGATATGCAAATACCATTTTTTTCACAGGTGACAAAAGTATTCAGTACAGTAACATGCTATACATATTTGTACACTAGGAGAAATAGACTCTACCATGTAGCCTAGGTGTGTAGTAGGCTATACAATTTAGGTTTGTACGTGTATACTGTATTGTGTTTACCTAGTGTTGAAACTAACAAAGAATTTCTCAGAAGGCATCTCCATTTAAAAGTGACACAAGACTACATAGACCTAATTAGATTTATAGATTTTATATCCTACAGGTTTTATTTAACAATATATACCATTTCCCCATGCAATTGAAAGTTAGCATAGACATTTTAAGTGCTATCAACATATTTCTATGGTTTAACTTTTTTCCCAATTTTTGACATTGTAATTAATGTTGTAAATTATATATTTGGACTTAAATCCTAGTGGCCAATTCTCTTTTAACCTTATAATTATTGAACCAAAATATTATAAGAGATTTCAAATGTCTGAAGGCATATTGCCTATTTTCCTGAAAATATTTTCTGACTTGCAGAATAATACAAAGGATTCTTTTTGTCAAATACTCACCAACACTGATATGATCACTTTAAAATGTATTTACTTACTTGACAAAAATTAGTATTTTGTTATTTTATTGTACATTTTTTATAACTAGCATGGTTGAGCATTTGGTTTTCATATAATATTTTTTCTTTTATGAATTATCTTGCATAACATTTGCCCATATTTTCTCTACTGTCTTGGTATTATTATGTGGTGGTATAATTTCTTATTCATGATTGATATTAAACCAGTAATATTTGACATTTGTATTTTCCTGGGTTTTGTGTGCATTCTTTTATACTTTTTTAAAATTATGCTTTAAGTTCTGGGGTACATGTGCAGATCGTGCAGGTTTGTTACATAGATATACATGTGCCATGGTGGTGGTTTGCTGCATCCATCACCCCATCATCTACATTAGGTATTTCTCCCCAATCCCTCACCTGATGCTATTCCTCCCCTAGCCCCTCACCACCCAGGCTCCAGTGTGTGATGTTCCCCTCCCTGTGTCCATGTGTTCTCATTGTTCAACATCCACTTATGAGTTAGAATATGCAGTGTTGTGTGTGTTTTAATGTTATTTTCATTTTAATGTAAAAAATAATATTTTGCATAACTAGGTGATGAATAATTTTGTATGACTTTTCTTCTTTGTTGTAGAAGCTATTGTGTCTATCAGGTCAGATTTTTAATGTGAAAAGTTTTAGAATCAAAGGTATATCTTTAAGATGATGTATCATTACCTATAAAAATAAACTAAGTGAAGTTGCAATTTTTAGTGTAATACTGAATTTCAAAGTAAGTAAAGTTAATAAAAGTGATACAAGTCATATTCAGAAATGTTTGGACCACTCAAATTGGTAATTGGCAAATAAGTCAAACAGCCTAGAATTTTTAGCCAAGCAAGAGAAACAAGTGGGATTGGGGCCAAGATGGCTGATTAGAAGCAGCTGAGGTCTGCGGCATTCACAGAGAGGAATGAAAGAGATGAGTGAATACAGAACTTTCAACTGAAATATTCAGGTTCTCACATGGAGACTGTTGAAAGAAACAACTTCACACAAGGAGAATGGAGAAAAGCAGGATGGGGCTATGTCCTATCCAGGAACGACATGGAGCCAAGGGAATCCCCAAACCCTGCCAAGAGAAGCACTGAGTGACTATGTGACCCAGAGAAACCATGCTCCTCCCATGGATATTTGCAACTCACAGATTAGGAGATCTCCTTGTGAGCCCACGCCACCAAAGCCTTGGGTCTGACACACAGAACTGTGTGAAGTCTTGGTAGAGCAACTGTTCAGGCATGCACAGAGACATAAGAGCTTTACAAACCCCACCCTGGGATTCCCAACAAAGGTGTCTGCAACTCACGCAAGGTGGGAGGTCTGCACATACCCCTAGGAATGGGGCAGAATCCAGGGAGCTGAGCAGCATTTTTCTGCGGCTCCATTTTCATGGAACCTCACAAGATAAGGCCCACTGGCTTGGAATTTCAGCCAGTCACTGGAAACACGGCAAAGCCTGACTGAGACCAGGGGGAGCCTTTGAGAGAGGTGAGGACACCGTCTCTGCTATTTGGCCTACTGGGCCATTCCAGCCTGTGGGCTTTGGAGAGTCCAAAGGATCCAGATGAGGAGGAAGGATTTCCCGTTAGCATAACACAGTAGCTTTTCCAGATTGTGGCCAGACTGTTTCATTAAGCAGAGTCCTGATCCATTCCTCCTACTGGGTGGCAACTCCCAGCCAGGGCCCTCCAGCCACACTCACCTGCATGGCAGACCTATGATCTCTCTCTGGGATGGAGTGACCAAGGGAGGGGAGGGTTGCCACCTGGGTTGGACAATCCAGTCATTCCAGCCTGTGGGCTTTGGAGAGTCCAAGCTGATGGGGCAGAGGCAGTTCCCCACCACAACACAGCTGATTTGTTAAGAATGCCCTCTCTCACCATGACTATTCAACATAGAATTGGCTATTTTGGCCAGGGCAATCAGGCAATAGAAAGAAATAAATTTATTAAGAGAAGAAGTCAAATTATCTTTTTAGATGTCATAATCTTGTAGCTAGAAAACTTCATCATCTCAGCCCAAAAGATTTTTAAGCTGATAAGCAACTTCAGTGAAGTTTTGGGATACAAAATTAAATGTGCAAAAATCACATGTTCCTATAAACCAACAACATGCAATCAGAGAGTCAAATTATAACTAAACTTCCATTCACAATTGATAAAAATAATATAAAATACCTAGGATACAGCTAACAAGGAAAGCGAAGGATCTTATCAAGGACTAATATAAACCTCCACTCAAAGAAATCATGACACAAATAAATGGAAAAACATTTCATGCTCATGGATACAAAGGACAGGAATAATCAACATCACGATATTGGCCATTCTGCCCAAAGTAATACATAAATTCAATGCTATTCCCATTAAACTACCATGGACATTCTTCAGAGAATTTTAAAAAACTATTTTAAAATTTACATGGAATCAAAAAAGAGACTAATGACCAACATAACCCTAAGCAAAAAGAACAAAGCTGGAGGCATCCTGCTACCCAAACTCAAACTATACTGCAAGGGTGCAGTCACCAAAACAGCATGGCCCTGATGCAAACAGAAACACAGATCAATGGGACAGCCTATAGAACTCAGAAATAAGACCATACACCTACAACCATCTGATCTTCAACAAACCTGACAAAAACAAGCAATGGGGAAAGGTTTCCTAATTGAATAAATGGTGCTGGGAAAACTGGCTAGTCATATGCAAAAATTGAAACTAGACCCCTTCCTTACACCATATACAAAAATCAACTCAAGATGAATTAAAGAACTTAAATAAAAAACCCAAAGCTATGGAAACCTTGGAAGAAAATCTAGGCAATACCATTCAGGACATGGGCACAGGCAAAGATTTCATGATGGAGATACCAAAAGCAATTGCAACAAAAGAAAAAATTGACAAATGAGATATAATTAAACTAAAGCACTTATGCACAGTAAAAGAAACTATCATCAGAATGGACAGAAAACGTACAGAATGGGAAACAAATTTTGCAAACTATCCATCTTACAAATTTCTAATATCCAGCTTCTACAAGGAACTTAAACAAATTTACAAGACAAAAACAACCCTGTTGAAATGTGGGCAAAGGACATGATCAAATAATTCTCAAAAACAGATATATATGTGTCCAACAAACATGAAAAAAAAAAAAGTTCTACATCACTGATCATTAGAGAAATGCAAATCAAAACTGCAATGAGATACCATCACACAGCAGTCAAAATGACTATTCTTAAAAAGCCAAAAAACAACAGAGGCTGGTAAGGCTGCCGAGAAAAAGGAAAGCTTTTATGCTGTTGGTGGGAGTGCAAATTAGTTCAACCATTGTGGAAGACTGTGAAAATTCCTCAAAGACCTAGAGGCAGAAATACCATTTGACCTGAAAATCCCATTACTGGGTATAAACCCAAAAGAATGTAAGTCATTCTATTGTAAAGATACATCCACACGTAACTTCATTGTGGCACTACTTACAACAGCAATTTTTTCCTCAAAGAAGGCTTTCTTCACTATACATTCCAATGTTGGCCCTGTTGCCTTTCAATAGGACATATTAACCTATTCCTCTCATATTAATCTATTAAACTGGTTCATAATATTTATTATTTGAAGTCATTCCTTTTTGCTTAGTCATTTTAAAATAAGAATAATAGATGCTATATTGTCTGATTCCTCCACTAGGTCATGAACTTAATGAGCTTAAGGATCTTGTCTATTTGTTCCATGCTATATGCCAAAGTATCGTACCTTATATAGCAGAAATGTTTAATAAATATTTTTGAATGAATAGGTATTTCATTACTTACCAACTGTTATATATTAAGAATCATTGACAACAAAATATGAGCTCTTTTTATAATTTACATTTTAAAGAATTGAGCAACATGAATTTTTTCCTAATGGGAACATCCATAATGGAAAGAATAGTACCAAGAATCAGAACACACCTAAGTTTAAACTGAGGACCAGCTTGGCTTTTTTCAGTTCCAAGGTAATGTAATCTCCTTGCTGTCCTTCTCCATGCAAGATTACTCCTTCACTTTCAGAAGTCTTAAATTTCAAGGCAATGACATCTTTCAGCGTTTTCATCTTCTTGTTTCTGAATCTATATGGTAACACAACATGGCCATCAAAGTTGATAACATCAGCCCCTAAAAAAAATAATAATAACATATTAGTTGAGTCATGTATGTTACCATCCACTTCCAACAGTTGTCTGCAGAGAATAAATGGGAATTAAATAGGAGTTTTTCTTGAGAAATTGACAGTCCTCTGTTCTTATCCTAATCCTCCCTTTGATTTACTGTGTGTTTTCAAAGGAGGTTTTATTGACAGTATTGATAAAATGCTCCTAAAAGCTCTATCACTTGAACATTTTACTTTAATTATAAAATTAGTAATATAAATTCAATGGGCCATATGCTTTAAATATTAACTTGGGAATCTAGAATTTAGATCTAAAGTTTAGTCCAAAATAGTAAAAATTTTAAATCTCTAACAGATTATGAGACTTAAATGTTTTATTCCTTAATGATGATAATTCTTCATGATTTTTAAGTATATATTTCACTCAAAAAGTTTTCTTTGATGTAAGAATGAAGGCACTTGGAATGCAAGCTTTATGCTATTTTCATTTTTTCCCAATGGTTTTTGTATTTTACCACAATTTTAGTAAACCTTTTTGTAGCATTCAGAGTTTACAACCAATTGAATTTTCAGAAACTTCTCAACATTTATCCTTAGGAATCAGTCTGTCTCAAATTTCTTATTACCTCCTTGCATTTGGAATGGAGATTTGGGCAGCACTGTTAGTTTCTTTACTACATTGGACACAGATATGTTCACTTTCCATATATGAGTTCAAAGAAAAAATATCCAGCATATACTACTCCAGCAGTTCTAATTTTAGTTTTAGGGGATTAGATTAAATTAAGGAAAGTATGTAATCTTCTTAAAAAATTCAAAATTTTGTCACTGTGATCTGAAATATATGATCGTGAGGATTCATTTTATAACCACTATTTATTTCACACCAGGAATAAAAATGAGATGATATTTATTAGGCATTACTGGCAATGGGCTCTCAATTCATTGAATGATTCAAAAATGCAATGTGACCATTCAGATCAAATATTGGGTTCAAACAGAAGCTTCATTACCATTATCAAATCTTCGTGGTTAAAAATATTTTCAATAGACTATTTCTGTAAGCTTTTCATTTTTAAATCATAGAAAGCTTAGTCAAACTGAACAGCTCTAATAACTTTAGAATTACAAGCTTGGACAAAGCTAGCCTCTAGGTTTTGGGCAAGGTCTCGCTAAAGAACTCCAGAGGGAGTCATTGGAGAGAAATAACAGCCAGTTTAAAGCCTGTCAGAGAAATATTTTCTCATTTCATATCCTAGTTCTCTGGCACTTGTTTACTTCAATCACCAGCAGGAACACTTTGGTTTGCCTTATAAGTGGAGCATACCACCAGATAAATCCCTGTGGTGGCCATGGTACAGATACAAAGCTACCAGAACCACATCCAATCTTTTTTTTTTGTGTAGATTTTACCTAATTCTATAAAGGGAACTGTTGTGAATACAGTTATTTCGAATTACTTAAAATTAAATCTAAGCTTGCCTTTCAAATCATTGATGGCTTTCACATACTCTGAAACTATGCTAGTATCGCAAATATTTATGCTTTTAAATAACTTTGTACAATGTTACATTATAAAACATTCAGAAAAAAATACGACTTTAAACTTTAAGTTTTAATTCTTATAATAAGCTCTTTATTGCCCATAAAAAGACTTTCTTAATCAAAAGAGTTCTGTTCTCTGAGACTGTGAATCACAGAGGTTTATTTTAATAAGAGGGGAAAAAATCAACCATTAAATTTTGGCTTCTGCTAACACTGCAAAGCCAATTAGACTTTAGCTTAATCATACACACTGTCACAGCTGAATTTCAATGGCAATATCTTTATCATCCGCAATGAGAAATAAAGGAGAGAAAAAATGGAATCTGACTTTCAGATTTCAGGTTGAACTTATAATCCAGCAGTTAGTAGATACTTTTTGCCTTGAAAAGTGAACAAAAGAAAAACAGAAGGGAGTAAATTCTGAACTCTAGACAGTAATTTTGCAGTCAATTTCATATCGGTGACAGTTAAATAATAGACACATCATTGTTTTATAACCTTCAGCATATTTTAATTGACATAAAATATTTCTAATGCATCTCTCAGGAAGTAAATGTTCCCTGAGCTTTTACTCAGGGAACAAGAATCATCTCTTCTATACTTTCTTCTAAATCAAAACACATTTAGTTCTAGGTACAGAATAGCAATTTAGGAAAATGTTAATGTATTTCTGTCTTACTTTTAGAGCAATGAGAAAACGTGACAGAAAAGATAAAGATGGTTTGTTTTTTTTTTTTTTCAGACAATCCTAAGATATTAATAAAAACAGGAAGGAAAGCTACTCATGTAGACCAAGTCTAAGTAGTCAGGGTCAGCTGGGAACAGAATGGCCTGCAAACTAGATTGCTCACAAAGAAAAACAAAAAGTGTAAATGTATTTTCCCACCTATTTATCCATCTATCTAAAACAAAATTAAAAGTTATTTTTCTTTGAATGGGTTAAATGCTTCCAAAATATCAGCATGTCCTCTTGTGGATATAAGCTTAGAGCTGGCTTGAAAATTATAAAATTTCTGGAAAGAATCTATGATATGTAATATGCACTTTAACACATATCCTGTACTATTCAAAAAGTATGGGATATTCTACAATAATGTAAAGAACATCCATCACCATTTAGCTCTGTTTCCTACAAAAATACATTAAAGTTTCATATGACATCTAATAACGCTTTGTGCTTATTTGGGGACAAGCCACTTCTTTCTTCTATTATTCTGATTGCTTATCACTCCCTAGAATTAAGTTTTCTATGCAGTGATTAAATATGTATGGTTGAACTGTTTAAGCAATCTGAAGAATAATGGCTACTCAAAAAGTGAATGCAAAATCATAGTGTTTCCACAATTTTGTTCCTAACAATAGCTCAGCAAGCTGGTAATATGCCCAATTCATCAAATCGTCACGGTAGAAAAGGGTTTTTCAAAACCATTTTATTGTTTCTTAGTTTTTAACTTGTAAATCTGAATAAGATATTTTGAAGTGTTCATCATAAGAAGTTTTTAATATTTAAATTTTATGTTTAATATTTTACTTTTAAAAGATATCTTTGCTATATATTTTATTACAAACTATGTTTATTGCTCTAAAGAAATTAAACAATACAGAAATATAGAAAGTAGAAAGTAAATCCCAACCACAAGAAATCACCAGTGTTCATGGGTCCTTAGTTGGTGCATATCCTAGATGTTATATATTTATCTATATATCTGCCCAGCTATCTAAGGTATGGAATAATTAATACACACACACATGCACACACACACACAAACACACACACATATGTACATACATATATATGTATGGATATACATATATATACATATTCCATACATATATGGAATAATTCATACACACACACACACACACACACACACACACACATATATATGTAAAAGGGAGGGGGAAAGGGAGAAGAATAAGCAGAGTGGAAATTGGAGAGGGAGAATTTTATTTCATTTAATCTTGGTCCAAAATGTACAATAGCAGCTTGAGTTTGAGGTGATATAATATTTATAGTGTAGGGAAATTGGATGTTTTAGTTAATTAAAATGTTTTATTGATCTTGATAAAAGTCCTTATAAAAGTGAGAATATATATAATTTGAAACTGTAATTTGTTTATTTATTGGAAAAAAAAAGTATTTTAATGTAACACAGCAATAAATAAGGATTCAAAAGTTACTTTTAATACCGTTTCCCCATGAAATTTTTTTCAGTTACTTTTATAGGCGCTCTAAAAGAAACAAAAAATATTAAAGAAAAAAAATTTAAAAGGCATTATTTCATTTTTCTGAAATAACCAATGATAATATACTGTTTCTGATTATTTCAAATTGTATATACAGAATCTTTACATATGTACATAGATAAAGATATGGATAATACTATATACAGTTTTGTTCTTGGTTTTTGGTATTGTACATTATTCTTTTTAAAACTTATCATTCTGTTTTCCAAAAAAGGATTTTGATGAGCTAAAAATATATCATCATTTAAGTGTACAACTTCTTCAATAAAAATTGTGGTCGAAGTTTGTTTTTATTTTCATAAATAAACTTTTTATTTCAGAAAAATTTTAGATTTAGAGAAAAGTCAGAAAGATAGTTGGGAAGATAGAGTTCCCATACCTTTCACCCAGCTTCCTCTAAGACTAACATTTTACATAACCTGGTACACCTGTCAAAACTAAAATACTAAGTTAAGTAAAGTGGTATTAACTAAAATACAGATTATACTTGGATTTCACCAGTGTTTCACTAATGCTTTTTTGTTCCTTTTTCAGGACTTAATCCAGGATCTCCCATTGCATTTAGTTATGATGCCTTCCTAGTCACTTCTAATCTGTGATAGTTCCCAATTCTTTCCTTGTCTATCATAACTTTGACCCTCTAGTAGAGTACCAGCCAAGTATTTTGTAGAATCTTTCTCAGTTTGGATTTGTCTGATGTTTTCTTAGGACTAGACTGGCATATTGAAATTTGAGGGGAATATCACAGTTATAGAATCATATATCTCAAATATATATAATTTTTATTTTTAATTATATAATAATGTATATTAGATAACTGAAAAATATATATAAAATAGATTTTTAATTAGAGAAAAAAGGAAACAAATTAAAGACATTCTTTTTTTAAAAAATAATAATTAAAAACTGGTAAATTTGGAGGTTTATATTTTGTGATGAAGGCATATATATTTCACAAATACATATAAAGCATATAAATAGAAAAAAATAGTAAAAATGTATATTAACCAGTTAGTACAGAATCTAATATTACATAATTTATGCAAATAAATACCAAATCACTTTGAGAGTAAACGTATTTTATATCTGAAACTGTAGTTTAAGAATGCTAGAGGGTAGAATTTGCTTATTTTGCAAACTCCACACACATGCAAATCTATGTATTTTTTTATTGTCATATGTCAGTATTTTAGATACACTGATCATTCTTACA